AGAATCTTGAGACAGATGTTGTGAACGAAAATGTAGATGAAGAAAGTAACAGCACACAAAGTAACGCATTTGAACAACGGCTGACTTGTGAGGGTCGATGACAAGTCTCAGATTCTGACAATTCTCAGTATTCTGCCGATAAATTTTCCAATTAAATCAATAAAAAATCAATAAAATGAAATAATAACAAAATTACGATGTCTTGTCTGAAACGATTTAGAGGTGCCGTGTTTTCATGTGAATGAGGATAGTAGCGTTACGCTGGTACTTCCACAGGGAGCCCGGCTTGGTGATGCTAAATCGGTAAAACGATCACGTTTCATGTTGATGACATTATATAATAATCGTAACTGAATATACGGTCAATGCGTGATAGAACACCGGGGCCTGGTTGTTCAAAGCTGGATTAGCGCTAATCCAGGATTAACTCTATAGGTCTTATAAAGAGTTAACCCAGGATTAGCACTAATCGGGCTTTGAACAACTGGGCTCAGTGTTTGCGCGTAACTTAACAGGCAACAAAAAATATCACAAGAATTTCATAGTCGTCGTAAAGAATCATTACTTTCCCCTCATATTACTTACCATAACCTCATATTTTTTAACTGTCGCATGGATTAATGGCAGTGGTTCCTGTACACCAAAGTCTCGTTTCCAGATAAGACATATTTCTATGTAAATTTATAACATTACGATGGCCATCGCTTTCACACGCTGACTCTAAAGGTTGAAATATCGTACATTTTTATCGCTTGTCATCTGGTTTTACGAAGGATAACATGTTTGTATTTATAAATATTCTGAAGCTTTATTCCTAATGATCAAAAATAACGGGGTGAACCCCGGTGAACCTCTTACCGTTTCCGAGTTATTCTGATTTTTTCTGTGTTTCTTTGCTGTCTTTTTCTTTTCACTAATGCTAATTGTCTTTGAAATAATTCAATTCGGCACAATTCACTTGTTCATATTCCGTTAAAATCACTTTGGAATGTTGTCACATTTTCTTCTTTCGTATTTCTCCGAATTTACGATTCTGTATTCGAATGAATACGAGGGAATAGCATTCTCGGACACAGACCCTACTCATTTGTCTAATCTAGGAAAATGAGCAAGGTCTGGTAAAGAGGATGTGAGCACAACAAAATGGCTGACACTGATAATCAGAATGCAATGATTTGTCAAGGTACTAGAAATTATATTTTGAAAATATTGCGTACGATTGAGAGAGGTAACCTAGACTCTGACCATCTTGATCTTATATTCGAATGCTACATATACAAGTTCTAATGATTTTAATCCACATGTTGTCACTCTTAGTTCTCCGCCAAGCCAGAAACATTATTGACCAAACTCATGATAATCCAACCTCAAATAAACTTTCCTGTCTCTCACTCAAGGGATAAGCGTAGTAGTCTGCATGTGCAGAAGTGTAATGAACGTCTAGACTACGTCTAGTAATTTATCCAACCTCGTATTCATACGAATACAGAATCGTAAATTCGGAGAAATACGAAAGAAGAAAGTGTGACAGCATTCCAAAGTGATTTTAACGGAATATGAACAAGTGAATTAAGCCGAATTGAATTCTTTCAAAGTCAACTAGCATTAGTGAAAAGAAAAAGACAGCAAAGAAACATAACTATTGCACATTAGAATACACATCCACATTTTGGCGGAAACCACCCCGCATACCTCATAGGTACTATGTCACCTATCAGGCATATCTTGTCAAGATGGCGGGAATTACCCTCGTAATGCTACTATCGACAGTCGCTACTATCCTCATTCACATGAAAACAGCACCACTAAATCGTTGAAGATAAGACATGAAATCGTAATTTTGTTATCATTTTAATTTATTGATTTTTTAATGATTTAATTGGGAAATTTATCGGCAGAATACTGAGAATTGTCAAAATCTGAGACTTGTCATCGASCCTCACAAGTCAGCCGTCGTTCAAATGCGTTACTTTTTTTGCTGTTACTCCCAAATAATCAAAACTTTCCTTTTTGAGTCAGTGGAAATATAAGGGGGAAAAACTGCCATGTTCGCGGAATATAACTATAATAGAAACTAAACTATTAAATTTACAATGCAAAGTTTATCATTTTATCATAACCTTTAAAAGAGGTGCGAAATCCAGAAACATTCGACTTTAGACTTCGAATTGACCCCAAACAACAAGAACGCTTTATGATTATTCCAAACAAAAAAGTTGCAATGATAAGAACCTCAGTTTGACAGGAGTGTCTAGGGGTCGTGTGTCGTGGGTCGTGGGTATTATGGCGTGGGTCGTTTGTGTTATGGCGTGGGTCGAGCAAATGCACATGAAATGTGTTTCTCCTTTCTATTTCTATTTAAAATTTCATAAAAAAACCTTCACACTAATAGCTAATGAAAAACACATACACAGAACAAGGGCACTAGGACACCAAATGTGGTTGGATTTCTATAGTTTTTTTTTTTCCTTTCGATTATTTGAATTAAATTAACGTTATACTTGTTTGACTTATCTTGTGTCCGTGCTCCTTCGTTTGCTGCATGTTGTAATGCAGACGTTTTCATTCCAAAGGTCAAACGGTTTGAATAGCCTATGAACTTTACTTCTTTAACGGCCGTTCCGTACTTGAATCTGTTTGTACTATACCAACAAAAGAAGTAAAGCTCATAGGCTATTCAAACCGTTTGACCAGTCACGATAGCCTTTTGCAGTTCAAAAGAATTTATTACATGTGATTCAGGCTACTACAGCAGAAGATACCCTGCGAGCAGAGTCTCCTTTCCTTCTCTGGTCCGTGAAGGAAGTAAAAGGAGAATCGACCTGCTCACAGGAAGTAAATAGAAGAGAACTCGAAACTGGAGAACTACCTATTCAAGATTTAACATTGATGACTTTTTCAGTTTTTTGAATTATATATCTACGCCAGTTATTTGCCTTAGCAACCTTTTGTGTTCATCAGTTAGATGTGGCACTAAATCATTTGGAATTTTAATAAGCCCCGGAATAAAATACCTATGACATACAGCTACACAAATGGAAGTAAACATTTGATACTTGGGCACTTTTTCGTACCTTCTTTGTCTCTGTGTCGTAGTAAGACCGTTTGTCTCCGCTGACAATAACTAAATCGTTTGGCCTATCAGGGACTTGTCCATCAGGCTCCGACTCTTAGAGAAATCAAACCACCTGTATATATGGCCAACTTGTGGGATACTTTGCTGTGCTTTATAGCTTCACGTTTTATGCAGCTTTAGATCATTTTTATTGGCGACGAGCTTTTGTCCATCATATCCAATCCCAAACGTTTTTGAAGGAGGCTGACTGACCGTTGATCGGCATCTGGGATTTTGCCACAGGCTTACCATCCTAACTATTTGTGGTATCCGATGGGCTCCCTGTGGTCTCTTGTTTCATACTGCAAAAGGCTATCGTGACTGAAGAATCCAGAATGTATGCTTATTCTGTGTATGCGTTTTTCATTAGCTATTAGTGTTAAGGTTTTTTTAAAATGAAATTTTAAACAAAAATAGAAAGGAGAAACACATTTCATATGCATTTGCTCGACCCACGCCATAACACCCACGACCCACGCCATAACACCCACGACCCACGCCATAACACCCACGACCCACGCCATAATACCCACGACCCACGACACACGACCCCTAGACACTTCCGTCAAATTGAGGTTCTTATCATTGCAACTTTTTTGTTTGGAATAATTATAAAGCGTTCTTGTTGTTTGGGGTCAATTCGAAGTCTAATGTCTAATGTTTATGGATTTCGCACCTCTTTTAAAGGTTATGATAAACTGATAAACTTTGCATTGTAAATTTAATAGTTTAGTTTCTATTATAGTTATATTCCGCGAACATGACAGTTTTTCCCCCTTATATTTCCACTGACTCAAAAAGGACTCAAAAAGTTTTGATTATTTGGGAGTAACAGCAAACAAAGTAACGCATTTGAACGACGGCTGACTTGTGAGGGTCGATGAGGGTCGATGTTCTAAATACTCAACCGCGTTTGAATAAAATTATCAAATTAAATATCCACTACTTAGCACTATTTTGCAGCAAGTAAAGGCCCTTATGGTCAAAAGCCACCTTTCCTCATTTGGTTTTCGGATTTTTTGGCAGTCAGGAAACAAAACAATCCTTCGTTCACGAGGATTGCCAGTGAAGCTAACGTGGCCCCCAACTAGTTTTATCGACATAAACAGCAAGAAAATCCACACCAAACCGGTGAGACAGATTTGGCATTCATAATACTTTCTCGCCAGGAGATGTTTACACAACGACGGTCAAACGCAAATGAAGCATAATGAAACTTTTAACCCACGCGACTTGATCACCCTCCACTGGGGGCGTCTAACACTATTGCATTACAAGTAGTGCAAGTAGTGACCGTTTGTATATGGGTGTATTGAGTTACGAGTTATGTAATGATCGTTTTACCGATTTAGCATCACCAAGCTGGGCTCCCTGTGGTAATTCCCGCCATCTTGACCAGATATGCTCGATAGGTGACATAGTACCATGCACAACATTCAGAATAACTCGGAAACGGTAAGAGGTTCACCGGGGTTCACCTCGACATTTTTAATCATTAGGAATTAAAGCTTCAGAATATCTATAAATAAAGACATGTTATCCATTGTAAAACCAGATGACAAGTAATAAAAATGCACAATATTTCAACCTTCAGTGTCAGCGTGTGAAAGACATAGAAATATGTCTTATTTGGAAACGAGACTTGGCGTAAAGGAATTACTGCCATTAATCCATGCGACAGTTAAACAAATCAGGTTATGATAAGTAAAGTAATGATTCTTTACGACGACTATGAAATTCTTGTGATATTTTTTGTTGCCTGTGATCATGATTGTGATTGGTCGATTACGTCACGTGCCACTTGATCACCGTCTTCTGCGGTATGCCCTTCACCAGGGATTTCGGAAAAGATCATTTAAGCACTGTTTTAACAACCCTGTCGGAATTGGGCCAAGGAAGCGTGATTATTTGGTGATCCGGATACGAGGATTTTCTTGAGGGCAGCAGGCTTACGCTACTCTACTCGTTCAAACAACATTTTCTCTCTAAAAACGAAAGTTCCGGGCATTTCAGTGTTGTTTAGTTCTTTTGATAATCAACCAAAATATCTTAAAAACTGGCGATCTTCACAAGAAATTCCAAACAAAATTCTTTCTATAGCTTAATAGTATAGAGTAGAAAATACAGTCGTGCAAATTTGACCCCTTTTTATGGAATTATTGCCAAGTGAAAAAAAAACATTCGATCTTAACTTTCAAGTCTGAATAACTATTTACATCCGGTCCTTTCAGTATTTTATTGGAGACATTGGTTTACTAATTTTTTCTTTCACACTGATTTGACACGATACTCAAGTCCATCACGAAAGCCGAAACTTGATACTCTGTGCAAGGTTTGTTCTGCTTTCTCAGGTCATGTTTATTCATCAGACTGAGTGAAAAGGTCCAAACTGAGCCTTTTTAAAAGTCCAATCGTACCAAGAGGCTAGCTTTGCCCTTAAGTCATTGGATGTGGTGATTCTGTCGAGTTGGTTTACCTTCTGCTCAAAGATGACCGCAAAAAGCGTTCTACCAAGCGATTTCTTGGTGGCTGTCTTGATTGTAGTACTTGCTTTGCGAGTCTCTGGACGTAAGTACTCTAATAAAAGTTCTATTCTTTGTGCATGTTAGTATCATGAGACAAATCATCTAGTTTAGATAAATCTTAAAGTACTTCATCCTGCATTTATATTATAATGTAAATCTACGTTTCTTGGGAAGAAAGAATACTTAAAATAATCATGAATATTATTGGTATCTTCTATTAATTGTATCATCACTCTATAATCCCATATTGAAGAAATAAAAAACTTGCTTGCTGTGCTGTGTGCCGTCATAAAGCACGCGGGGTTGGCAGAACACGAAAGAAGTGTTAGGAGAAGCACGACGCGTAGGAGTGCTTCTGGACACTTCTCAAGTGTTCTGCCAATCCCAAAGTGCTTTATAACGGCACACAGCACAGCAAGCAAGTTTTTTATTTCTTTTATAAAATACAAATTACAATAATAGATAGGAATTACGCAACGGAAAGTGCGCGCGCGTGCAATGTGCATTCATAAAGCACGCGCTCCAAGCCAATCCGAACGCGACATTCATAACAGTTATTTTATAAAAGCAACTATTGTATTATTTTCTCTTTCCTGTCCAATTTAAAGATTAATTTGGATCGTTTCCATTCGCATTCTTTCGAGAGAAAACTATGACTTTTGAAATCAGTCTGGTATAGTTTGGGATGACATAATTAATCTGCAATAGGATTACATGTCTGTCCACTTTAGAAAAAATTGAATTCAAAAGATTTGTCTGACTGCCAAATTGGACTCGGTCTATCGGCCTCTTCCAATTTTGTTAGGATTTTTTTTTTTCATCCAATCATTTGCAAATTGGACAGCATGTAGTCATATTACCTATACTAATTAACTTGTTATATTATATTAAGTGTAAATCTTCAAAGCAAAGAAAAACCATAAGAAAAGAGTGAAAGAAGATTTGCGAAGGAAAACTGCTATTTCGTAATTTCGTCAGTTTCTGCTCGGTAAGCTGTTGGAAAAATCCACGCGGTCTGTCACCCTCATTTTGTAGGACGACACGCCATATCGCCGAGAATGCAGGAAATCCTGTATGTGATCAGGTCAGGAGTTTAGTGAAGTTAGACTTTGAACAGCCGCTAGCCTCTATGTGGGACGTGCGTTTAAAATAAATGAATCGCTCACGCTTTTTACGAAGAGCAAACTAACTCAGTTTGTTAATCTTAAGACTCGTTAACGTGGTTTTGAAGTACCATTTTTTTTCAAGTTCATAGTATGCAGCTCTCAGTATACAGTTAGGATTAACTTGTTGATTCTATCTGTCGTTCTTTTGCCTCCGCGGTGAAGGAATTCTCGTTGACATTCAACAAACATGACAATGCTTGGTCTCCATGCATTGAGCAATAGATAGGATTACACAATGTCTAGTGTTATTCAATATTGTCTGATTGGTATTTATACTCAATATGCTCTCGTAAAACCAGATGGATAAGCCGTAGATATAAAGTTAATACTTAGACGTGTTTAGGAGTGGTTTCGTTTAATTAACCGAAAAATGCTCAGTAGATATGTAGCTAGATTCAGTAGATTCTATACTGGAGGAGGTAAAATATCTATTCCCTAAGACCCGGCGTTGAACTGACGCGACCAAAAGTGAAGCTGGTGTCAGATTTGTCTCATCGCACAGAATTGCCCATCAACTCTGGTCATTTCCAAATGAGGGAGATTATGTGAAGAATGGGGAAGCATTTTTTAAAGAAACACTGCAATATTTTCATACTATTAAAAGGATTTGAAAAAAGTTGGAAAAAATGATTTAAAATATTTCTAAAGCAAAATTCGCGGGCATATGCTCAAAATTAGGTACAACTTCCGTTGTTACTCTGAATGATTTTCTTCACGACAAGCAGCAGGACCCGAACGAAGTGCAGGAATGATAAATTCCCATACATATAAACACTGCGAAACCTGAAATTGACCCACAAAAAAACGCATGTTGGCAAATTGAATCACAAAAATAAATGGTAAGATTATATTGTGTTGTTGTCATTCTTTGATATTCCTATGTTACTTTTCTTGCATTGACTTTCGATTTTCTTTACGAAGCGCTTTAACTTTCAATATTATGACTTTGTCTTATAAATATAAATGACCGTGAGAGGATAATTGCTATTCGGAAACTGGAATCTAGTAATTTATTCTCTAATTTCCCGGATGTGTCACTCATAAATAAAAAAAGAGACTGAATTGACTAATATGATCTAAAAGTTGATTCGGAGCCTCAAAGGTCCTTTACTGGATGTCACCTTTGTGAGATYATGAGAGAGCAACTTTTTCACAACCATTTTAAGGAACCTTTTCACAATCGAGAAGTATAAAACTCTTCATATGGATACCCAAACATCGTTATGTAAAAGAAGAACCCCAAAATAGAATTTTAAATAAAGACGATATCAAGCATTATTCGCGTCATTTTTTATTCAAGGAAATCTGTCTTCTGAAACTCCATGTCTTTCCCTTTTATGAAGCCCGAGAGACGAAGTTCACTTCACCACGGCAGTAACGTGATAAATGGGTAAAAGTAGGTGATTTTCAATAAATAAAACTATTAAAGCAATGTCGGAACTGAATATACTGAAAATATATAGAGGATATTGCATGGGCGCGCGGAGATACGATAATTATCTTCGAGCGTTGAAAAGATCTCTCACGAGTTGAGCGCAGTGAACAAGTAAGAGATTTTCAACACGAGAAGATAAATTTCGTATCTCCAAGCGCCCATGTAATATTCTGTTTATTATATATTTATCCATAAAATCAACTTAACAAGCTTTTTATTATCAAAAAAAGTTTTTATTTATAAACTAATAGCTTAAATACACATGGTAACGATATTTTCACATGTGAAAATAACATGTTATTTTCACATGTGAAAATATCAGTTTTTCGAAAAGGAGGAGGAATATAGGCATTTTATGGATAATTATATGATAAAGTCCGGTTCGTTCTGTGTGCCTCGAGCAGGTTTCATTGGATGCCAAGCCCTAACAAGCCAAATTTATCCGCAAGCGAGAGTTTCGTATATAGACCTACCATTTTCACCTTCGGTTTGGGCTGAATCGAGGGCGCCGATGGCCAAAATCGATTTTCTCCACTTCTCAAAATAAAAGTGAAATTATCCATGCACCTACAGTAGTAGTTATATAGATGTTCTCCAAAGTCTTGAATGGTACATAGTCTAGAGTCCGTCTCCGTACTCCAAGTCCTTTGCTGTTTTACAGAAATGGGAAATATGCTTATTCCATGTTAAACTTCCATCAATCAAAAAACAACTAATATTTTTTGTAGATTTCAGTCTAGGAATAACGTTTTGGCAATAACGTTAACCTATTCTGATAATTGGATCCCGTGTGAGACTCGCTAGGCGATGCCTTGGTGTGTAATATATAGACACAGGATGGCAGTGGATTGAAACTTGTTTATTCTAAAGTTCAACAGCTACGCCCCATCTTGGTAACCACTTGGTAACGTCCTTTATGCATATTAATATACTACAGACTAATGACATCACATTATGCAATAATCATATATTTCGATTTGACAACATTTAAACTGAGGCGGTTGGTTCGAAGACAACCGTAAGTGAGTTATTGTTTATTTGAGTTGCAATATTTAATATATTTAGGCACTGCCTAAAAGCGGAGCTCCCGATACGCAAGTCACAGGGAGCCCAATTTGAATGAAAGTGGAAGATAGAATTAAAATCGGGAAAAATCATTTTTTTTAAATTCAATATTAAGAAAATGCCTCCCATAATAAAAAAAAAACAAGCACTGAAAACGAATCAAAATGCACTACATCGTTTTCTTTGCGCGAGAATACTCTCCCGATCCCACTTATATGAATTTTGTACAAAACTCACCACCCCAAGGGGCTAGTTTTTTTCTTGAAAGATTCTTCGACAAAGTTTTCCATGGCCGACATTTTTTAAGCTTTGAATTTCTGGTTAATTTTACTTATAAAACGAAAGATAACTACAAATAATCCAATACGATATGAGGTTTAGTGAAATTTACCTCGGATGTCTTTCATTGAAATCGAAAATTTTGAGATTTCCGAACTTTTATGGACAAATCAAGACTATATATGAAACAGACTTGAAAACTGTTAAAAAAAAGGTGAGCAAAATACATAAGCTTACTTTTACTTCTTTTACACTTATGACGATGTTTGGTTAATTATCCACATCAAAAGTTTTATGTTTTTACAAGAACTGTATTTTCATTCACAAAAGTCTACTACTTTTCGATAAGCTTGAAAACATAAGCTCACTAGATTTTGAAAATTCAATTTTACCAGTTTTCATCTTGTTAACAACAAAAGTTATTTAAAAACTAATAAGTTTACATTCATTTATACTTGACAAGAACAACTGAGGCAAAATAGAGTAATAACGCAAAATGCAATGCAAATAAAAAAAAAWTTTTTTTTTGTCAGTAAATTGGCATTTGGAATTGTTTTTTAATATTTTCTTAGCTTTTGAAAGTGAAAGACAAGGTACCGCTCTTTATACATAAAATTATTGAATGAAATTCAAAATGAAAGCACTCTTACCATAATAACAAAACAGGTACACTTTTTTCGCACGTTTGTCATTCTAGTTCGTTGCTCGTTTGCCGGTAATCTTCGAATGTTATTTAGCTTTAAACTTTGTCAAAAATTTCTTGGATATGTTTAATTGTGGAATTCAAAAGTGCTTTTTCAAATGATTATTTTATATCATGTATGAACTACGAATACTCTTACCATAAGAACAAAACAAGTACTTTTTTCTCTCGTTCGTCATGCTAGTTTGCTGCTCGTTTTCCGGTAATGTTGTAGCTATGTTATATACACTAAATAAAACAAAATAGAAAATGTCCTAACCTCTATCTTCACACTGTGGCAAATTCTTTTTTTCCATGATTTCTTCAATAAATTTTTGTTTCGTTTTTACAATATTTACGAAAAAATGATAGTTTTAAAAAAAGTCGTCATTTTCCAAGTGACGTGTGATTTGAAACCTCGACCAATCAGAAACGCGATGTACACCTGGCGGGCGGCACTTTTAGCGTTACGCACAGGGTTCCCATGCGATGACCGAGGGATCTCCGCTATCATTGACACCAAAATAACTTACCTTATGTGAGATTGGTGCCATCAGCATAGGTATAGACTGAGTCAAGCCTCCAGCAAGGTCATTGATATATATTTAAAAAAGAAGTGGAGCAATGACCAGTAGAGCTCATCCGCTTGACAGCACTCCGTTGCTTCGTCTTTGAAAGATCAGTAGGATAATCTATATTCTGAATACCATAAGATTATAGTTTTATCAATAGAGACGGTCGGATCTTAGTTTTACCAAAGCAAGAGAATATTCTCTTGACCAAAGTCTATGTTGTCGAGTCAATAAATCGAATTGTTGAGCAAGGAACAGTTAGAGTGAAAAGATATGGGCGATTGATGCTCCGATAACAAGTTGTTGGATGTCAAATAGTTCGTCTAGAGCTGTTCATGCATGGGCGCCTTTTCAAAATGTTTAGAAATACTCTGGAAGGACTCAGTGCCCGGTCTAAAATTGCCAAGTGATGCTTTGTCACGACAATATTTGAAAAATCGGCAAGACCTTTGCTAGTTTTCATATATCAGGAAATAGTCCTATTGACCATTGACATGTACTTTCTTAAGGCTATCTCGATGGAACAATTCATGCTTTAACTAAGGAGTAACCAACGGTGCTTCGCAATTTCTAACTTCGTATTTTTTTCGCAAAGTTCCATGTTTATCAATGACTTTAAAGAGCACAATTTGAAGATGTAAATTTTGTCGTTAGGACCATCAATCATTTCTATTAAATTCCATGAAATGTTCCCCATATCGTACACGTGTCAATTGGTCACCTATCTCTGTTGCATTATTATTATTAATTTTTTTTTCGATAGAGAAATGGGAAACTCAGGTTTGTCCGAAAGTTGAAAACTACCTGTCACAAGAACAATGCCCAGTGGTAGGAGTGCCTAATGAGTGCCCATCTACATGTCCCGGCAGAACGAAATGCTGTCCGACTCCAGACACATGTGGTGTACGCTGCACGCGTAAGGTTGCTAGACGTAAGTTCTGGTTTAGTGTTGCTGTATCAAATTAATCGAATTTTGGTACGTAATTTGAAACTGCTAAGGACTAAAGTTATTTATCATGATCGGTGGTGTTTCTTAAATGTGACCAAATTTGACTAATTTTAATATGTCAATTTAAAATGTATTTACTGGCTTTTGAGTGTATTTTTTAAAAGTAATAAAGTGAAATAAAAGAAAGGAAGGGAGGAAGGAAGGAAGGAAAGAAGAGGTAATCAGGGGTGCTTACCATTTACTCGGAAAAACCAGAAGTTCCAGTTGGAAAGCAAATAGTATGTGTCATGCATTCAGATCGAAGAAAAGTTCCGCAAAACTCGGTCTTTGAAAAGAAGCTAGTCATTTACTTTCGAAGCTCTTTTTGGTTCTTCCGGTAGAAACGTATACTATTTATTGGAAGTTAAAGGTCCCCGCTCTTATTTTATCATTAACAAAATAATTTCCTACCGGATGGATTGGTCTAAATTGTAGTACCTCAACGTTGATGTGTGTCACTCTTTTTTCGTAGTTGAATGTCCAGTCCCGGTCGACATAGCTTTGCTTTTAGATTCCTCTGGAAGCATTGGTGGTCCAAACTGGATAAAAGTTCTAGATGCAGCCAAGAACCTCGTAGATTCATACGACGTGTCTGAAAAAGGAAGCCACTTCGGATTGATATCATACAGCACAAAAGTTTCACTTGATATTGGTTTTAAGTCATTCACAGGTGTTAATCGTAATGCTGTCAATATGAAGAGAGTCATCGACACCCTTCCATTACTGGGTGAACAAACATATATTGACAAAGCCTTTAAGCTCGCTAACGAGGAACTTTTTGACGAAAACAAAGGGATGAGAAAGAACATTAAAAAAGTAAGGATTTAGAAACCAACTTTCAATTATGTATAATAGATAAAAGACGAGTACGACGGTGTTTCATAGGGGTTCCAATCACAAACTGATGATAGCATAAACCCGTAGACCGAGGCTAGTAGGTTTGATTCCTGAAGACATTTATAGAATTGATTAAGAATTTAATGTTATAAGACACGAAAATAGAACTTAATTTCCCTCATGATTCCTTAATGAGGGAGATTTAGAACTTAGTGTCCCTTATGAATTATTAATGAGGGAGAATTAAGTTCTAATGATTACCTTATTCTATTCATGATGAGGAATGTTCGTCATTAAACGTCCCTTTTGAAACAGGATTTCGAGATGATTTATTACACAGTATTACACTGAATATCCTTTATACAGCCAAGTTTGGAATTTACTGCACTGCATTTGAAATTATACAAGGGATTGGGACTAACAGTATTAGTGATGCGAACATGTAATTATAAGGATTTTTGAAGAAAGAATTTTTGACTAACACTAATTTTGAAGTAAGGACACTATTTTGTCCTCGTTAGCATCGCTTTAATCAAAACGTTTATCAGACGAACCATTTATCTTTTAAATATCCCTTGAAAACATTATCGACGTGATATGTGGTTTATCAACCACCAAAAATTCTGATGACCGCCACGGAAATAGGCAACTTGTACGTCTGCTTATGGCTGATCTATTTTGAATATCTTGGTTTCTTTGTTAGTGACGAGGGCTTTGTTAGCATTGATGTGATCAAAAGTACCGTTGGTCTTTTTGAATGTTCATTTGAGAACAACAGCGGACGTAGGAGCGAGAATATAGGATATTACATGGGCGCTTGGAGATACGAAATTTATCTTCGAGTGTTGAAAACATCTCTCACAAGTGAGCGCAGCGAACGAGTGAGAGATTTTCAACACGAGAAGATAAATTTCGTATCTCCAAGCGCCCATGTAATATTCTGTTTATTATATAATTATCAATGAAGTATGTTTTGGTTTTTTCGGGCAATTCTTTCCGTGTATTTTTGAATAGTCATCGCAATGGTGTTATTTTCACATGTGAAAATAACATGTTTTCACGTGTGAAGATATCAATTTTTCGGTATAAGCCTTTTCACAGTTTAAGAATTCGATTCCACTGCGCATGCGATTTTATCCCGAATTTCTACCTTCTTTTGTCTAAACCTTCTTTTGTTCTTAATTAAACAAAAGAAGGTGAGAAATTCGGGATAAAATCGCATGCGCAGTGGAATCGATTCTTAAACTATGAAAAGGCTTATAGAGAAAAATAGATATTTCATTGGTAATTATATAATAAAAATCACTCTTTAGTTGGTTTTCGAAAATATTATTTTGTTTTCGAGAAAACGGCCACCGAAGAGGTTCGACCGAAACCCAAGCAAGAGACGCTCAAGAGGAGTGAAAATGGACAAACTTTGAACAGAGCGCGCGTAAAAAACTAACTATCTATGACAATTTTTGAATTTTTTTCATAATATATCACCTTTTTTCGGATTTCAAGCTTATTGGGTGTATTGGGAAAGGGACGAATTTCTAGCTAGGGAAAATAGGAGGCCTRTGTTTACATATGCTAATTAGTTGTTTTCACATTAACACTAATTAATTTAACTATGTGCAAGTTCTCCGATTGAAGTCATATTTATGCTGCAAGTTGAGGAAGAATGCATCTTTTCAAAACTTTAAAGATTGATTTGGGGAAATTAATTCTGACTGCATAGAAACCTGTTGAATTTGGTTGAAATACATGAGAAAATCACGCTTCCCGAATCAACGCAGGACTAAGGATTTTCGTAAAGATTGCCATGAAATTTACCCTGAGAACTAAGAAATTATTGCTTGTGCCATATTTTGAAAGTTCAGTGTGGTTTGGTAAATCTAAACTCCATTAGAAAGGTTTTGGGATTGTCGGTATATTAGCAAAAAACGCGATCTTTGATGATTTGGCGTGACCGAGGTTCCCCTTTACGTTTAGAAGTTTGATACTGTAAAATTCACGCTAAAAATTACGATAGAAACGTTCTTTAAATATATTAATAATCTTATTTTAGCCAAATCAATCTTTAAAGTTTTGAAAAGATGTATTCGTCTTTTTTCTTTTGAGGCAACTAATTGGCATATGTAAACACGGGCCTCCTATTTTCCCTCGCCAAAAATTCGTCCCTTTCCCAATAAGCTTGAAATCCAGTCCAATGAACGAGAAAGGGTGATATATTAAGAAGAAAGTTCAAAATTTATCATAGATGGTTTATTCTTTACGCGCGCTTTGTTCAAAGTTTGTCCATTTTCACTCCTCTTGAGCGTCTCTTGCTTGGGTTTCGGTCGAACCTCTTCTGTGGCCGTTTTCTCGAAAATAAAATAATATTTTCGAAAACCAACTACCCAGGGATTCATGTCTAATAATGGTCTATCCAACTTCAAAAGAAGAGCGAATTTGATTTTTTGACCCTTGCCACCATTTGTTCGATTCTTGGTTGACATTGCCTCTTAACATCGAAGGTAGTTGAAGGCTCTTTGTTTTCCAATAGTTGAAGCCAATAGCTAAGGCAAAAGGAACTGACTTTGGTGTGACAAAATTAAAAACATGACAACGACTTCAGAACAAATTATTAACTAGAGTGATTTCTTACACTATGTAAAACATAGGACATAAAGCATCAATCATCGTGTGCAGTGTCTGAGCGGGTTTCGTGAGGTTTTCGTTGCGTTGGAATCTTTAGTCAAACATTTTGTACAGCATACAAAGTACAGCATACAGCATAACTCTTTACAAACATGATGTATGGCTGCCTCTGTGGCTTCCTCCTACCCTTAGCCTTCCATATATATAAGTTTTGTATTGTTTTAATCATAATACAGTTGAAATACTTTTCTTGATAATTTTTCAATCGAGACATTGAAGGACTTGCTTATCTTCATATCTATACACACCCTCTGGTGATTTTTATAATCGCCCACACACTAACAACAACACAATTGCAGTTTAGGGACTAGTTTCGTCCGTTTATTAGGACCTTTTCAACCTAAATGAATCTAACTGAATGATAACGTTGCGATATAGTGTTTATACTCGTGATGAACGAGAGCGAAAGCTACCTATTTTAGATCTTAAGGTATGGATCGGAGAGAAAGAGAGTGACAACACAAGCGCACAAGTTGTTCTGAAGTTGTTCTGTTCTGTTGCGAGTTTTGAATTTGGTCTATACTGCAATTGTGTTGTTGTTAGTGCGTGGGGGATTATAAAAATCACCATAGGATGTGTATAGATATGAACAGTTGAAATACAGTATCTTTTTTCAGTTCATATATACACATCAGTTTTCCAAAGAGTAGGTCTCTTATTTGTTGTTTTTTTAGGGGTTCTGTAAGGGTTCCTTCGTAGAGGTTCTGTAGGTTGAAAGGGTTCTGTAGGGGTTTTGAAGGGGTTCTGAAAGGGTTCTTGTGATAGTTTTGCAAGGGTTCTGTGGGAGCTCTGCAGGGGTTCTGAAGTGTATATATGAAAACTTTGATTAGCTTTTCAAAATATTTGAACTTTCAGAAAACAAAGAGCCTTTGATATATATTTAGTAATGAGATTTTATACGAGTTTATACGAGTAACCGATTAATCCAAGTAAGGTTAGCACGTGCCACCAACCTGTGGTGGCCTGCATCTGGTGGTACCACTAGCATCTGGTGACTCCTTGGCCGTACCAAGTTTCGTTGCCATAGCATTCATTGTAATGACTGTTCACAAAAATCTACGATAATGTTTTGTTCGTAAGTCACTTGATATGTGACGTTACACAATACCACGTGGTCATATGATTGTCAAAACAAGTCCCACCCATGCTACCAAGTTTCGCTACCATAGCATGCTTCATTAAGGCTTTAAAATCAAGGGATCACCAGATCTGTGTGGGGCCATCATGCAGAGTATGGTGTGAAGTGCTAACCCCTTCTCGATTTATCGATTTTTGTCGTCGATGATCAACCACGAGATATGATGTTTTCAAATGAATTCTATAAAAAGACTAACCGTACTTCATGAACGTTAGTTTTGATCACATCAATGCTAACAAAGCCTTCGTCACTCATTAACAAAGAAACCAAGATATTCAAAATAGATCAGCCATAAGCAGACGTACAATTAAGTTGCCGATTTCCGTGGCGTTCATCGGAACTTGGTTGATAAAGGGATAAGGGATATTTAAAGGATAAATGCTACGTCTGATAAACGTTTTGATTAAAGCTATGCTAACGAGGGCAAAATAGTATTCTTACCTCAAAATTGGTGTTAGTCAAAAGCACGTTCCTCAATCATTGTTGTTTCACAAAATCGAATAATGCCACGAAACATGAGAGGTCTTTCCCGCCATTTCGATAATCAATGCAAATGCAAGTTGTTTCCTCAGAATGAGGCTTCAGGCGGAATGCAAATCAGCAATGACGTAAGGGTCGTGTGGATCAATCACATCGACTTCCGGTTTACGTTCATGTGAAGTCATTGTTATGCTAGTAATTCTCCGACATACAAATAATTTAGGTTCATTTGTTGCTTGAATCACTACTAAGAGTTTGCCGCATTATTGAATCGTGGAAAAAAATAACCTGTTCATTTTCCCCCAGATATGTATCTTAATGACAGATGGTATACAAACACAAAAGGAAAATGATACTCGGTATCCGGAGGCACAGGCAGCACTTTTAAAGGAGAAAGGAGTAGAGGTGTTTGCTGTTGGAGTTGGAAAAGACATTGAAGTGTTTCAACTAATTGAGATATCTAATGGTGATGGATATGTCTTCAAAACAGACTCCTTTGACCAATTAAGTGGAAAATTGCAAGAAATTCAAAAAAAACAATGCAAAGGTAAATATAGGGATTGCTGTCAAGACTCCTTTCATTTAACTCAACAGCATACGTGACAGTTGTGGTCCAGTAGTATCTAGTACATCGTGTAAAAATATCCCAATTAATAAGGTATAATTGATTTTAACTTCCACCTCCGGTTTTGACTCAGTAAAGCCAAATGTCAATTTTATCGTTTAAGCTTGAGTCACTGGTAACTAGCTTGAAATTTGGTTTGTTGTTTGTCCGTTTATAGGGTGTGATACGTCATTGGACTTGGTGCTTGGTATTCCAAATTCCATGTCTCTGGGCCTGGAAATAAATGATGTCAAAGAGGCCATGTCCAAGTTTGTGAGCCTGTTTCAAGTCAGCAACATCAACGCTCATATAGGAGTCGTGTCTTACAACCAACAAGCTATCCTAGAACTTCCTCTAAACCGTGTCTACAGTAAACCAGAATTGCAACAATTTATAAGAACCATGAAACCAAACCAGGCAAATGGCTTTAACACCGCTGCAGCCTTGAGAGTAGCAGCTGATCATGCGTTTAGCATCTACGGGGGAGTCAGACAGTCTCAGCCAAAAGTTATGGTGCTTTTTGTTCCTCGGTCAGTGTGAGCTTAGCTTTTTGTATAATATATAAAGTGATGAGGGGGGGGGGGGGGGNTTTTATACCCGATAAAACACTCCTGCTCGTTTATTAAACATTACTTAAAACATCTCTAAAGTGAGTTAGAAAAGTTTGTATCATGAGATAATTTTTTTATGTTTTGTAGTTTATTTAAAAAAAGTCTTTACTGTTCCATGAAAATACCATAGGAATTTGGCCTTCTAATTCATGTAGTTACTAGTTTTTGTAAATACTTAGTTTTTGTGTGCACTCTTTCCTTGGGGGAGCTGCGTAGCTTCAATGGCGATTACTAAAGGGCTTTTAAGTGTTCATTTGTTCAGAAAGAACCACTAAAATAAAGCAAAATATTTTCTTGGTGATTTGAACTCCACCTAAAACGATTAGGATTTTGGTCCACAATTCCTGTCGTTGAGAAAAAGTATGAAAAAATCTTTAGAGAACTGCTTTTCGTTTTGGACCCGGAAGCCGTTTTTTCCATATGATTGACGTCACACTTATTGGTGCTTAAGTTAGAGCCATGTAGTGGTTGACAAGGGAACGGATATGTCTAGTCTCTTATGGTCATAAGGACAGCGTACATAATGGCTGCACCAATCAAGAAGACCCAAAACATGATTCTATCAAACGCACGAGCACAGTTCTGCCATGTTGCTTCGTTCTCTTCTTCAGAATAAGTAGGCTTGGGATGTGTCTCTTCCTTAAATGGCGACACGGCTCTAAGATTAATGTGACTTATGCCTTTATCCTGATTTTCGTATACACTCCGTTCTCCCGATTTTGGGCCGAATAACTTCCGAATACATGCCGAAGGTCTTCTTTTGGAATAAAATATTGCAAGGACTAGGATAGTGACGAGAAGCACACAACCAATCATCACCATTGTTCCCATCATTAATATACCTAACAGCGGAATGGCCTTAGAGGACTCCGGAAGAGATTCTGGAATAAGAAGCAAGAAGACCATCATGCCTAGCAGGAGAGTAGTGACAAAACCAATCCTCTCCCCACTCTCTGTCGGGATCCAGAAGCTGATCAACCCCAGTATGGCCATGATGATGCAAGGCGCGACGAGATAGAACATGTGGTATTGAAAACGTCGATTCATCCTGACAGTGTACACGACTTCACTGAACTGATAGGGACAACAATTGCCTTGGTCTGTGAGTCCCGTGTTTGTTTGAATACCATGGAGATCCCAGTCTCCACTCGCTATAAATCGGTCTGTAAATAATAATAAAGAAGATTTAAATCACAAACCAAGATTTATGCCCAAAAAGTTGGGATGCTAGGGAACTACTGGCTCGGGCGCCGCTTATATGAATTATCCTTCCCTTACTCCGCACCCCCCTGAGCCTGCGTTTATTTATGCACTATTTTGTTCCTTGTTTGCTTGCTTCTAATGACGCACGCATTGATGAAGTTATAGCAAGGAAACCAAGTACGAGATTGCAAGGAAACTTAGACTTCGAGTTTTTTTTTCAAGTTATTATTTCCTGAACCCTCTAAAGTAAAGCATTGAGTTCACATACACTTCACATACACTGAGTGATCAACATAAATCTTATTTCCAGTCGATTGGCTCGAGAGATGATTTACATTATGCAATATTAAAAGGGGGGGGGGGGGAGGGAATTAAAGTATCCGTCATTAAAGTATCCGTCATTAGTGATTCATGAGATTTATGAATTATGAATCAGTAATGAATGAGATATTTTTAGTCATAATTTTTCTCTCATGACTATATAAGGCATGGTACCTTATATAACAGTCATCACACCATGACTGGGTCGCATTGATTCAGTAACAATTTTACCACAAACCTGATGAACCCATACTAAAAGCAGATTAACTGCACAACAAACCAACACATGTGGCACTTATTGATTGTGGCACTGATTGATGTGTTCACCATGTCAATTCTCATCATTATGTTTTGTAAAAGAAAATAAGTCCTAATTTGCTCAGCGGTTATGAATTTAGTGCAAGCTGATTGGCTGGAAATTTCAAAATGTTGCAAGCAATGTTGCAGCCAGGTTCACCCGATAAAATTTGTTGTGCACAATGTTGCAAGACTAGAGCTCGGTCCAACTTTAAATTTGTTGTATGTAATGTAGTGTGCAACAAGTTCCAGAGATAGACCGGCACACGATGCAACAGTCTTTTTGCGTGCAATGTTGCACCGTGTGTCCGCACCTTTATTCATTCCACTCTAGGTTAGCTAAAAATGCTGTTATAAAAATATAAATATGTTGTTCGGACACTATGCCATCATGTTTATGACCAACAATGCACATCCATACCGCAGGTTTTTCATATTTCTATTACTTTTTCGCACGTTCAGACTGATAATCCGCCACACTAAATTCAAAACTTTGCATCGCAGTGCCTCGACAAGCATAAGAGAAGAAATTAAAGCAGCAGCTACTAAGCTAAAGGGAATGGGAGTAAGACTTATGGTTGTTGGCATCCAGAACACTGCGGACAAGGCTACGTATTCTTCATTGGTGACGCAGCCTCAACAAAACTTCTTAATTAACAAAGACGATTATAATGATCTGTCAGATGGTTTATACAAAATGGCTGAAACAGTTTGTAAAGGTAGGTTATATAACGCACTATACAACGAACTTCGCAGAAATGTCATTTTACTACAACACGTGACTCGAGGTCACGAATGATTAGAATGGCGGATACATTTGTAAAATGCATGAAACATACACAAAACTATTCAGTCTGTCATTACTCTCATTTTTGTTGTTGTGTGGTTCCAAGCAAATGCACAAAGTCAAAGATGAATTACCAAGCTTAACACTAGGACAGCGTTAAGATGGTTTGAGACCCGTATTGGTTTGGAAGTTTAAATTTCGTTTGGGAGGAAAAAACTACATCATATTATTGTAACAACCCTTGGGATGGAACAGTGATTGAGGGATTCTCCACTGGGATCCGAAAATCCTGACTCCTTTCAAGACAAGAATATCTTGGGAAAAATAAACCCTACCTAAACCTAAGATAACTTATGTAGCTACGTTTATGGTGGAAGTTTTAAAAAATGTTTGCAGACGACGAGAAACAATCGGTTTCGACTTAAAGTTAAATAAAAGTGGACAACCTATCTAACACTTGAAAAACCTAGAGTATTTAGCTATCCAAGAATGATGGTCCTGTGTTCGAGATAACATCATTGAAATCGTATAACCTGTCTAAAACCAAAATCCAAATAAACCATACCCTATACATTGGAACATCCCTGTATAGGCTATATATGGAAGCATCCCCGCCCTCCCCTTAGCGTAATAACACTGTATGCCACAATGTTTTAGATCGAAACAAATAAATCTTCCCCAAGGTTTTCTAGAATTTGTGAGTTATATTGCCTTCCCTACTTTGACTTGGAACACTGTCGTGGAAATAAGACCGTCTCAGTCGCAAATAAAGTTACCATGGCCCCACCATACTGATACATACATCTATGTGATTGTGTTTCAGCTAAATACCGTAAATGTCCTCCACCTGGTCTACCATCAGCTGAAGTCAGTCCAGACAATCTGTATAAATGTACACACGACCAAGATTGCAATGAGGAAGAAGGATTATGTTGTGTCAGCGGTAATGCTGGCACAGAATGCCGAAGAGGCATAAAAAGTAAGTTAACTATTGTTTTTTAATTGTCCATACCGCTACTAATTAAAGACCCATTGCCACTTACCGTGATGCATCACAATATTTTTACATTTTGAATCGTGTCACCACTGAAAAAACAATTCCAATATTTTGAATAAACTCTTAAAAGAATGTAAAAGAATCATTATAGTGCCTTACTGCTATATCGGAAAAGGATTTAATATGACGTTATTATTCAATATATGAACCTTTGAATTTCATGGACCACGAAATTCATCTGTGACCACGGTGCATCACGGTAAGTGGCAATGGGTCTTTGAGGACCTAATTTGTAGTCAGGAGAATTAGAGGGGTTTGTTATTAATTATGGCAAGGTAATTTCCCGCAATATGATTGGTTAGATTAAGGACGTTCGCGGGTATTATTCGTGCGCGACCTTCGTACATATGATTTCAGTGCGCGCGCGAGCTCATCGTGATGACGTTATTCCATTGTTTTGATGAACCAAATTTAAAAAAAAAAAAAAAAAAAAAAAAAAAAAACTTTCATCCCTAACACCACAACTAACCTTGTTCAGTTATTAATTTCTCTATTTCATGTGCTTCCTTGTTTGGCCAACATAAATAAACAGGATGAAAACTTCCTTCCCGAGGTAGTTTATTTAAACGAGGTTTGAAACTTGTCAACTAATTCCAGCGCACACAGTTACTTCGCATATCTACATCGAGCGATTCCCGCATATCGTATGTCTCAGACAACGAATTTGTTGATCACAATATTTTTCTCTTTTTGTAATAGACATACTACACAAATGTCAATATCAATAAATTCTTGGGGGGGAAATTCGAAAAAAATCTACCCTGCCTTCACGAATTCAAACTTTCCGGTTTTGTCCTTCGCATCCTCAATGTTTCACAAATATTGCACACTACATCTTTTTTTAATTATTCTTTTGGTGCTTTAACATTTAGAGATTTTAAAGTAATTGTCTAACACGGACTTCAAAGTAGAGCGTCCTTTATTAGTCCCCTCAGTGCCACTACCACATGCATATTTGCATGGCACTAAAGTTAACTCATGCACCATAACCGAGCATCAACAAAAAAACAGCTTTTCTATTGGGCCTCGGTAAAAAGGGGAAACGAAAAGTGCGGAAAGTGCACTTTTATACATGTAAATAGTAATTCCACTTGCTGCTGCTGTTATATTCAATTAAAAAAAGGAAATAAAAAATAATAACAAAAAAAAAAGGTTGTTAATGACTGCGACCTTTTACGTGACATGGCTACAAAGGCCATTAAATGCCGAGGTTTACATGTATAACTGTAACAAAATCAATTCCTCTTCGAATATAGCAGCGAACACTACTTTGTAAGCCATAAAACGACCTTCACAATATTGACCACTCCAGCGCACTCCAAGTAAGTCCTAAACCATTCTCGATCGATTTAAGTCAGTTTAATTTTCCACACATGCTACTTATGTATATTCTCTTTACATACAACATACAAAGACCCTTAGACACCCAATACATTACTGGATGTAGTCACCTTAACCCCTTTAACCCCCAACGCTACGTAGAAACGGTACACTACAAGCATTCAGGCCCATGTTTCAGTCAAAAAATTAAGATCTCTAGCTTTCCACGGTGAACTTTTCTACAACTTCGTAGGATCTAAGTTTATTAGGTTATCTTCCATATGACAGCCCAGAAAGTAAAAGATTCTGTACTACAGAATGTAATCGAATCTTGAGTAGTACCGATTAGGTTTAAACCTCGCCAATTACTTTAGTTTGGTATGATCAAAAATATCTACAATTATGAAAACGTTTTACCGTACAGCAAAATAAACTGAAATTCTTCAAATTGCGGTGCTGCGCATGCTCGCACGGCGCGCGGCATAGAACTCTATAAGCCTTTTCATAGTTTAAGAATCGACTCCACTGCGCATGCGATTTTATCCCGAATTTCTCACCTTCTTTTGTCTAAACCTTCTTTTGTTCTTAATTAAACAAAAGAAGGTGAGAAATTCGGGATAAAATCGCATGCGCAGTGGAATCGATT